GGGCCCTGAAGGGCCCCTTCAGGGGCCCCAAAGGGCCCCCTGCTGGGCAGCCCTTGCTGCCCCACCCCCACCACTCATCCCCCCCCCCCTTGCCGCGAGGCCCAAAAAGAGGTGTTCGAGGCTTCCGGGCGCTCCCGAAAAGGCTCTGCTGATGGGCCTGTTTCCACCACCATAAGCTGGAGGGGGGAGGAGGTCCTCCTCCCCCTCTTCGTCCTCTTCCTGCTCCTCCTCCTCCTCCTCCTCCTCCTCCTCCTCCTCCTCCTCCTCCCCTCTTCTTCGCCCTGCTCCTGCTCCTGCTCCTCCTCCTCCTCCTCCTCCTCCTCCTCCTCCTCCTCCTCCTTCCCCCCTCCAACTTCTGGTGGTGGTGGTGGAAAACAGGCCCACCATCTGCAGCCTCCGCTCCCAGACCCCCGACGTCGTGATTTTTTCACAGCGTCGACCCTCATCCCCGTGGCTCGTTTTCTGACGGTCCTGGGGCTCCCTGAGGGCCCCCTTGAGGCCGAAGGTAGCGAAAAACCTCCCGTCGTGATTTTTGCCACAGCGCGAGGGGGTCTGGGCCCCAGATGCCCTCCAGCAGCCGCGCCTCGCCGAGGGTGCCCAGGCCGGCGCCGAGGGGCCGCCGCAGGCCCCTGGAAGCCTCTGGCCTCCCCGCGCCGCGGAGGAGAGGCACGGCGGCGCACGCCGCGCGGGGCAGGGTGCCGCCTCCCTGGGGCCCTCGCGCGTGCCCCTCCTCCTCCTCCTCCTCCTCCTCCTCCGCCTCCTCCTCCTCCTCCTCCTCCTCCTCCTGCTCCGCCTAGCCGCCCTGGCACAGGTCCCTTCACACACCCTGCGCGGCCTCAGGGATGTGTGTTCCCCCCTACCCAGCGCCTCCCTTCCCTTACATATAGGCACTCCCCGTCGCGGCGCACGGCCCGCCGCCATGCATGCACCCCTCTCTTTCATTGTGCACAACGTCACATCCTTGTGCAGAGCGGCAGAGCAGTGGAAATCTCTGAAGCTTATCAGACTAAAGATATTGTCTTTCTCACGGGTACCAGGCTACGACGGCGTCACACAGATGGGCAGTGCACGAGCATCTTCGATCCGCATGCACACATTCTGAATTGGGGATATGGAAGGGGGCCTCTGGTGTCGTCCCACACGGTAGTACAGATTCGACTTCGACGGCGGCTCTTTCGTCTCTGCCATATTGCACAGACTCATTCACCGCCCGCAGGCCTACAAGGACGACTGGGAGCGGTGGAACTACGATCAGGCCGCTTTCATCTACTGCTGCTGGTTGTCTATTTCCCAGTTCGACCGAATGTGGCAAAAGAAATGCTCACGTATAAGAAGACGGTGACGCAGCTGCTTGTATGGATGGACCAAGTTTGTCGGCTTCAACCTAATAGGTGTTCGATTGTCTTTGGTGGAGATATTAATGACTATGCGGGAGTACCTGCACGCAATGTTGTGCCTGATGAACACAATCCTGTTGGACCGCTCCGACCCCAACAGGAGCATCATTGTATGACGCAGTTGCGAGATTTTATGGAGAAGTATAACTTGTGTCTTGCTAACACCTTCATGGGCGGCCAGGATACCTACCACGGGCGAGCTTCGAGTTCTCGCATTGATTATCTTGGCGTTCCGCGAGCTTGGTTGACAATCTTAGTGGATTCGAGTACTCTGAACAAGCGAGGACGACAACTTCAAATGGCTCCAGTTCAACGCAAATGGGATCATTACCCACTGCAAGTGCGCGCCAGATATATTCTTGATTTTTCTCGGGGTGGACGTACTCCCCGTATCCAGTGGAACTTGGATGCTCTTGTTCGAGGTGTAGTCGATGGGCTTTGGCGTGAGCAATGTCTTAAAGAAGTGGAGGATCACTGCTGTCAGTTTTTCTTACGATGGAAACAGTACGAAACACTGGCTACACCCGACGAGGCTTGGCAGCATTTGGTGAGTGAAGATCAACAGATTGCTATTGGTTATTTTTAAAATATTCAAAGGAGGATCAGAACTATCGACAGGATCGGCAACAACAACCGGACCTTGTGAGACGACGGGCTATCTTGCGAGAAAATATGGGATCTCTTGGTTTCGAGGCGCAGATGGAGGAGATTACATGTTTGCAGCAGCATTTGGGTAGATTGACTAAGGACCTTCGCAAAGCCAAGGAGCAGTTTCAGCAGGAACATAATGACAGCTTAGGGGAACAGATACTAAGTGCGTGGCATCAGAATGATCACAGTTTAGTGCACCGATTAGCGAGGCGCTTGGCTACTTACCACGGTGGGACCTGGACGCCGTTTTTACAACACTCCGACGCTTGTGAATCCTACGGTTGAGATGTGGACTCAGCACTTGGCACAGCCTGGATGGAGGGGAGGCCAGAAAGCCCAGCAGGTCCCAGACATAGACGCGCTCCCAGTACAACGTTATGATCTGCATGATGGACAGCAACTCTGGAATCCCACGTTCAAGGATGAGGCTGATCGTGATCTTCGAGGTATTCGTGCAACGATAAAAAGGCTTTCGTATCGGAGAAGTGTTCCGCCCTGGTCTTTGCCTGCTGAAGTTTTTCGCATGTTGCTAAATCCAACCGCGAGGGACCCGAAGTAAAAGGACCAGCAGGAGGAGTTTGAGACGCGCATCCCTGTTATGAATTGGTTTTCTCGCAGGCTACGTGGAATATTGTGGAGTATAAGGGGCATGGCTCAGGTTCCTCTTGCGTGGCATCGCTCTTCGGGGGCGTGTATCCCCAAACCTACGTCGAAGACGGGATTCAAAGCTGTTCGACTTATTCATCGCATCTGTCCTTTCAGCAAGGCCATGATGCAACACATCAACCGACGTGGCAAGGCAGCTTATCCTGAAAAGAAGTTCTTGGATTGTATGCACGGGGGCATTTCTCATGGGAGGCGTGAGGCAGCCATTCGAGTTCAACTTATCACAAGCTGGAGGTTGATGCAGATGGGCGTATCACATGCTACAGTATTTTATGATCAAGCTAATGCATTTGGCAGCATTTCGCAGCAGGCTATGGATGATGTGGATTATCAGCACTATGACATTGATGATGTATGGCAGGGCACACAGAATAATCACGCGAGCTACATCACGATCGACGCAGCTGATGGCGTTGGCACTTATATCCTTGGAGAAGGCGTGCTGCAGGGACATCAGTCAGCTCCTGATAAGTGCAATCGAGCATTTCAGCACAATGTTCTTGAGCCCTGGTTAGACATGCGCAGTAAGACACCACAGGGAGCTATGATGATGTGTGCCTCACCCTTTTGCGAGCAAGCTGTGGATCTCTCGACGACGGTGTTCATGGATGATATGGCCCACAAAGTCTTGGGTACGCAGGCACGGGAAGTTGCATCGCGAATTGAGGAGGCTAGCAAGCAGTTGGATGAGAAGCTGTGGACGGTCGGCGGTGTCCAGAACCATGACAAGAGACAAAGTTCGTGGGCAATGGGGCTATCAAAAACACGCGAGCACTTTCTGAGATGGTTGAGTTATCTGGTATGGTGCAACCGGTTGCCACGTATCTTGGAGTTCAATTTTCACACTCGTGTCAGAGTGCGCATCAGAGAGTGGTGTGTGAACAAAATATGAGAAGAGCCTGGTGGAGTATGGGGAGATTTTGGTTTGCTCGCAGTGTGTCGTCACAGCTCAAGAAGCTGGTCTTTCAATGTCGTGTCCAAGCTAATGCTCTTAGTGGTCTTGAAGCGTATGTGTTGATTGCCAGTGATTACAGAATGTTGGATTCTAGTCTCTTGAGCTGGGGTAAGAAACTACTAGGAGGGAGGGCTGTACTTAAAGTTCATCAGCCTGATGGGAGTATCAAGCATCGAGCCCTACCCCCAACAAAAACTTTGGAGTATGCTGGGACTCGTTCCTGCTCGATTGGAGCTTCGCATTCAAAGACTTCGGTGGCTTCAGTCTCTGGCGGTGCATCGTGAAGCTAATATGCAGGTTCTGGCTGCTATGTTTGGAAAGCTCCCAGGAGAATCCCAGGCCACCATGGTTGAATACAAGCTCGTTAGATATGAAAATGGGGAGTATAAGGGGAACCCGTGGGCCCTCCAGGCCCAGAATGATCTGCTCGCGATGGCACATGTTGAAAATGGACCCGCCCTTCTCACCAAGCTAGGAGATGCTCCCCTTCAAGTTTTTGATGATCAGTTTCGAGATGAGTTCGGCAAGTTGAATTGTCGATCCCTTCGGAAAGCGTATTGGGAGGATAAAGTAGGAGATCTATATGATTATGCCCAACCAGAACCTGGAGAGGAAGGATGTGCACATAGAGGAGGAGGAGAAATTGGAGAATCAGGAGGTGGAGGAGGAGGAGGAGGTGATCGAGCAGTACCGGAGGGACCCCCTGAAGGCCCACCAGCTCCAGTATGGGTATGGGAAGAGCTCAATGAAGATGGGTCTCGATGTGGACTTGAATTTCAGGATCGTATGGCGTGGTATGGGCACATGAGGTTCACTCAGGGGGGCACGCACGGGCACCGCGCGTTGAGCAATGTACTGACGGTCACCAATCAATGTCCATGGTGTATGAGTGTATTATCGAACAGACCCATTGCTCGTCAGCACGTTCGTCGTCTATTTCTTACTCATCGTTGCCAAGCAGATAGGGGTCATTATAAATATGAAATCATTGAGCCAGAGTATCTGCACTGCCCCGCTTGCGGTCAAGAGCACCATAGCCTAGAGGCTCTGCAGGTTCACATCAGATCGCACGTGCAACTCGACCCCTCAGCCCACTTTACCTTTGAGGCTCCGAGCGATGTCAGCGTGGGTGACACCGTTGTCGCAGGGACAGCTGCTGGAGGCGAAGAAAAGACTAGCGAGCTCTCCAGAAGCCATCTCCGCTGGTGGCTTCGGAAAGGATCGGGTACAGCGCCGACGGGGAGGCCAACTGCAGAAAGGGAGCATCGGCGTCGTCGCACGGCCCAGCGGCACCAGGGACGAAGGGAGGCGCTGAAAACACGCCCGTGGACATGGAGGAGGACTACGACACAGAGGACGAGACGGCGATCACCACCTTGAAGCAGGTGATGAACGTCACGCAACGCACGAGGGCGCTAGAGGGGTGTCTGATCAGCACACATCTGCTGGACAAGGAGTGCATCCTCAACACGTACGCGATCGGTGCGGCCCAGCAATATATAGGGCAATGGTGGAAGAGAACCCGAGTGTAGCGCTGGGCCCCCCGTCACTTATGGTGGCCATGGCGGTGATGACGGTCCTAGTCCAGCAGACAGCGGTGAAAGAAGCACCATCTATTCAAGCAGAAGTTGCAGGCCTCAAGTCTTTGGTCGAACGGCTCCGCACAGAGAAGATAGAAATGGCGGCGGAGTACATCAAGTACTGGCGAGCGAAGACCACGTTCGCCAAGGAGGGGGAGGAGGCCAAAGTTCGTCATTCGTTCTACATACATGCGTTCGTGCCCATCGGGGAGCCGCCCAACATGTTGATTGTCCCAGCCAACCTCCTGATCACCAAGTGCCTCATGAAGTTGGGGTCCGAGCCGAAGCCAGGCCCGCCGCCGCGAGGGGGTCCCGAGAGGAAGCTCCAGAATTCTCTGACCAGGATGCTGAAGGGGGGCAAACACAAGAAGTGGTAGGCTCGAGGCCCCGTAGTGTACTGAGGTCAACTGGTAGCAGTAGTAGCCACCCGTTAGGCCCTGTGAGTGCTCTAGTGGATGGAGGACCTAGGCAGTGTGTCTCTGAACGGGGTAGAGTTCAGTTTTCGCGCGCCTGGGCTCCTCCTGCAAGTCAACCAAAGCGTAGGCCCCGCAAGGGCAAAGGGAAAGGTAGTGATAGAGGCCAGACTTAAGGGCTGGGACCTATCCTTGATCTCTGTGACGTTTCTCCGCCTGCCTCCGCCTTCCTGTTCCCTCTCGCCTCTCCTCCTGTGGTGTTGTGTCTCCTCTTTCCCTCTCTCTCGCTCCGTCTCCTCCTCCTCCTCCTCCTCCTCCGCCTCCTCCTCCTCCTCCGCCTCCTCCGCCTCCGTCCCCTCCTCCTCCTCCTCCTCCGCCTCCTCCTCCTCCTCCTCCTCCTCCTCCTCCTCCGACTCCCCACACCTCCTGCTCCGCACCTCCGGACCGTCGACACCCAGAGATCCAACGCGTTGAAAAAATCTAGACGGAGGCTTTTCCAAATTTTTGGCCTCTGGCGGCCCTCGCCGGGCCCCGGGACTGTCAAAAAACAGCTCAGGATGAAAAACCGGTCCTGGGGAATGGGTCGAGACTTCCGGGGACCCCGCATTGAAAAAATCACGACGTCGGATCTCTGGGAAAATGACTCGGGCTGAGAAGCTGGTCCTGGGGAACATGTCCAGATTTTCGGGGGTCCACGTGGTGAGAATGCAGCGCCAGAAGCTGTGGGCCCCGCTTGCTGACGATGTGCCGCCCTGGGCAGCACAGTTGCCGCAGGCGCGTCTGCGGCGCTCAGGGTCAGGGCAATCGTTGCGGAAACTGGGGCCCAGCGCTAGATTCTTCCCCGTGGTGCCCGTGGGTTGAAGGATGAGGCGGCGGCGCCAGCGAATCGGTGTCGGGCCGAAGGTCGAACAAAATCGACCCCCAGAGGTCTGGACCCCTTCCCCCGGGCCGGTTGTCCATCCTGAGTCGTCTTTTGACGGTCCTGGGGCTCGGTGAGGGCTCCCGGAGGCCGAAGATAGCGAACAGCCTCCCGTCGCATTTTTTTCACAGCGCGACGCGAGGGGGTCTGGGGAGCAGCAACTGCAGCAGTGTTGGATTTGAAGCTTCTGGGTCTCCAAGGGGGGGGGGGCCCTGCAGTGGCCGCGGCGGCGGGGCTCGCCTCCCGATCACGGCCAGAGCGCGCCGCGGGATGTGGTCGGGGGGCCCCCCTCGAGCCTCTCCGCTCCTCCCCGGCGCCCAGGCATTCCCAGACCCCCTCGCGCTGTGAAGAAATCACGACGGGAGGTTTTTCGCTATCTTCGGCCTCCGGGAGCCCTCACCGGGCCTCGGGGCTCGGGACCGTCAACAAAACGGCTCAGGATGACGAGCCGGTCCCAGGGAGAGGGTCCAGACCTCTGAGGGTCGACGTTGTGAAAAAATCACACAACGTCGGGAGTTTGGGTTGCCTCTTCCGCAGCGACAATGATGCCATCAAGCTCGAGCACTGCGCGTCCCCGTACAAAAAAAGCTGCGCCGCAGCGCGAGACGGAGGAGGGGCTGGCGGCCGTGGAGTTGCCGAGTGCATTAGCACGGGCGCAACATCTGAGGCGGCAGAACTAGACGAGCCGCGCGAGGAAGGACCTGGGGTCCGCCCAGCTTGCGACATCCTAAGCTATCCTAGACTGTACGGGGCGGGGGGTAGCAGGGCGAGAGCTCGCGGAGGAGAAGGGCCCATAACTCCGACGCCATGGTCTTCGTGACAGCGTGGACCCGAGGAGTTCTCGACCGCTTCCCCAGGGCTGGCCTTCCACCCTGAGCAGTTGTTGTACGGTCCCGGGGGCCCAGCAAGGAACCCTGGAGACCAAAAACTGTCAGAAACCCTTCGGCGAGTGTCCTTGAAGCGAGGCGGTGGCGAGAGGAAGAGGAAACGATATGAATGAACGATTGAAAACTCGGGGTCGTCTGAAGCTACAAGAAAAAACTTGCAGCACGGAGACGCCCGATTGACTCTGCAGGTGGGCAACGCTCGGTCCGCAGCACGCCGAAGGAGGACGCCGAGGAGTGGGGAAGCCAAAAAGCACCGATACCGCTACTCCCCGGACCTCTCCCAGGGCGCGTTTTGACCGGGATTTCGAGGCGAATCCAGCGGCGGCGACGCGAACCTCCCAGGAGGCCCAAAAAGGGTAGCGGTATGGGTACCTCTTCCTCCTCCGAACTCGGGGCTGGGAGGTCCAAAATCGACCCCCGCACGTGTCCTGGGGCGCGCTCTGGCCAGAACTTCGAGCAGCACCCCACCGTGGGCCCCCCAGAAGCCAGGAGAGGCGCAACACCATCCGAGCACCTCCATCCTGGATCCTCGATTCTCGATCGCCACCGGGCGTCCACCGACCACCAACACTCCTCCCCAGACCCCCTCGAGTAATGAAAAAATCATGACGGAAGGTTTTCCTTCATTTTCGGCCTCCGGGGGCCCTCACCGGGCCTCGGGAGCGTCAAAAAACGACTCAGGATGCAAAGCCGGTCGTGGGGAAAGGGTCCAGAACTCTGGGGGTCGACGTAACGAAAAAAACATTACTTGGGCGCCCGAGTTATCCGGGGTAACTCGGGTCCGGGGTAACTCGGGTTTGGATTCCCGAAAAACGAACCCGAGTTATCCCTGACCCGAGTTACCCCTGATGATTCGGGGCTCTGGACGCCCGAATTATCCGGGGTAACTCGGGTCCGGGGTAACTCGGGTTTGGATTCCCGAAAAACGTGCCCGAGTTATCCCTGACCCGAGTTACCCCTGATGATTCGGGGCTCTGAATTACGTCGGGGGTCTGGGTCTGAGGTGAGCAAGAGGCGAGGGCGCTGCACTGCTCACGGTACCGCCGCCTGCAGCGAGCGGCGGCGGCCCGGCGGGCGCTCCCGCAGGCTGCGGCGGGGAGAAGCCGCGTCGGCCGCTGCTGCTGCTGCTGCTGCTGCTGCTGCTGCTGCTGCTGCTGCTGCTGCTGCCCCAGACCCCCGACGTAATGATTTTTTCATTACGTCGACCCCCAGAGGTCTGGACCCTTTCCCCATGACCGGCTTTGCATCCTGAGTCGTTTTTTGACGCTCCCGAGGTCCGGTGAGGGCCCCCGGAGGCCGAAAATTAGGAAAAACCTCCCGTCGTGATTTTTTCATTACTCGAGGGGGTCTGGGGCTGCTGCTGCTGCTGCTGCTGCTGCTGCTGCTGCTGCTGCTGCTGCTGCTGCAGGGGGGCCCAGCCGAGACAACGGCGGCGCTGCCGCCGGGCCTGGATCCGCCCGAGATCATCGGCCCCGCGGGGTCCGCCCCCGGGGCCCTCTTCTGTGGAGGAGGAGGAGGAGGAGGCGGAGGAGGAGGAGGAGGAGGAGGAGGAGGAGGAGGAGGAGAAGGAGGCGGAGGAAGAGGAGGAGGAGGAGGGGGAGGAGGGAGGAGGGAGGGAGGAGGGAGGGAGGGAGGAGGGAGGGAGGGAGGGGGGAGGGAGGGAGGGAGGGAGGGAGGGAGGAGGAGGAGGAGGAGGAGGAGGAGGAGGAAGAGGAGGAGGAGGAGGAGGAGGAGGAGGAGGAGGAGGAGGAGGAGAGAGGGGGAGGGGCCCCCGGGAGGGGGAGGAGGAAAGGGAGGGGGAGGAGGCAAGCTAGGTGCGCTCGCGCGCGTCATATCTGACATCCTACCCCTCCCTCCCATCCCTTACCATGGCGCAGATCCCCTCTCTACTCGCACAGTCGGATGTCAATCAGGGCGATGATCCCGAAAGGGTACGCGATGCATTGTAGAGCACGGCGTGGCATGGCGTAGAAGAGCACCGCGAAGCGTAGTATCAACGTGGCATTGCATTGCATGCCGTGGCATGGCACGGGAAATGACGCCAGCGCTGCAGCGGGAGCACGAGTCGAAACGAGCAGAAGCGCGGAAATGAGGCCAGCGCGGCAGCGGGAGCACGATTCGGAACGAGCGGAAGCACGGAAATGGGGCCAGCGCTGCAGCGGGAGCACGATTCGGAACGAGCGGGGCCCGAAAATGAGGCCGGCGCCTCAGCGAGAGCAGCATTTTGGAAACAAATGCAAGCGAAAACCTAACTCCGGGGAAGGCTTCCCGGGCGCCAGAAGCAGAAATTCAGCATTTTCAAAAGAAAAAATTGTGTTGGAATGGCCTTTTTTCGGCGCCGCCTCGGAACTCGATTTTCCGGCGCCGGCCGGAACCGGCTCCGGACCTGGCCCGGACGCCGGCCCGGGCGCCGGCTCGGGCGTCCGGCCCGGGCGCCGGCCCGGGCGCCGGCCTGGGCGTCGGAATCGGCCCGGGAGGCCTCCTGGGCGCCGGAAGAAGAAATTCAGCATTTTCAAAAGAATTATCCCGGCAAAGCAACCTAACAGCGATGTGTAGGAGCATATCTGGAAGCATTCCCCTTAAGATTCAGATGAGAATCCTGTTGTAGAATTCTGCTGTTCTCGCAGTCGTAGTCGCATTCGCGATGACAGTCGCAGTGGCAACGGCAGTCGCAGTCACAGCCTCAGCCTCAGCCTGCCTCAGCCTCAGCCTCAGCCTGCCTCAGCCTCAGCCTGCCTCAGCCTCAGCCTCAGCCTGCTTCAGCCTCAGCATCAGTCTGCCTTCAGCCTCGGCCTCAGCCTCAGCCTGCCTCAGCCTCAGCCTGCATCAGCCTCAGCCTCAGCCTCAGCCTGCCTCAGCATCAGCCTGCCTCAGCCTCAGCCTCAGCCTGCCTCAGCCTCAGCCTCAGCCTCAGCTGCTCAGCCTCAGCCTCAGTCTGCCTCAGCCTCGGCCTCAGCCTCAGCCTGCCTCAGCCTCAGCCTGCATCAGCCTCAGCCTCAGCCTCAGCCTGCCTCAGCATCAGCCTGCCTCAGCCTCAGCCTCAGCCTGCAGCCTCAGCCTGCTTCAGCCTCAGCCTCAGTCTGCCTGCAGCCTCGGCCTCAGCCTCAGCCTGCCTCAGCCTCAGCCTGCATCAGCCTCAGCCTCAGCCTCAGCCTGCCTCAGCATCAGCCTGCCTCAGCCTCAGCCTCAGCCTGCCTCAGCCTCAGCCTCAGCCTGCTTCAGCCTCAGCCTCAGTCTGCCTTCAGCCTCGGCCTCAGCCTCAGCGTGCCTCAGCCTCAGCCCTGCCTCAGCCTCAGCCTCAGCCTCAGCCTGCCTCAGCCTCAGCCTCAGCCTGCCTCAGCCTCAGCCTTCTGCTTCAGCCTCAGCCTCAGTCTGCCTTCAGCCTCGGCCTCAGCCTCAGCCTGCCTCAGCCTCAGCCTGCCTCAGCCTCAGCATCAGCCTGCCTCAGCATTCAAAATGTGGCCCAGGAATGGAGTTCTGGGAACTCGAAGAACACGAAGTAGCCTACAGTTGGCTCCGGGCATTCAAAATGTGGCCCAGGGAATGGAGTTCTGGGAACTCGAAGACCACGAAGTGGCCTACAGTTGGCTCCGGGCATCCAAAATGTGGCCCGGGAATGGAGTTCTGGGAACTCGAAGACCACGAAGTGGCCTACAGTTGGCTCCGGGCATCCAAAATGTGGCCCAGGAATGGAGTTCTGGGAACTCGAAGACCACGAAGTGGCCTACAGTTGGCTCCGGGCATCCAAAATGTACGCCGGGAATGGAGTTCTAGCAGCGCCAAGAGCGATTTTGCGAGGATGTCCCAGGCGATATGGGCTTCGACGGCAGCCGCCCCGGGTCCCGCCCCGACCCCCCTGAGGAGTCATGATGCTCTCTTTTGACCCTACTAGAAACCTATCAGTCTTCGCTGTTAGGTAAAAATGTGTATTAGAATGGCCTTTTTTCGGCGCCGCCTCGAAAGTCGATTTTCCGGCGCCGGCTGGAACCGGCTCCGGACCCGGCCCGGGCGCCGGCCCGGGCGCCAGCTCGGGCGTGCAGCCCGGGCGCCGGCGGAAATGATGCCAGCGCTGCAGCGGGAGCACGATTCGGAACGAGCGGGGCCCGAAAATGAGGCCGGCGCCTCAGCGAGAGCAGCATTTTGGAAAAAATGCAAGCGAAAACCCAACTCCGGGAAACCTGTGTGTAAAAAACAATACGCGGGGGGGGGGGCGAATATTCCCAAGACGTCATCAGGGGAAGAGGGAAGGTAGTATTCAGATTGAGTAATTCTAGAAGGAGAAGGAGGAACAGGAGGAGGAGGACCAGTGTAAACCGAAGAGTCATCAACGATGTTGGAGTAACCCCTCCTTCCAAGTTCCCTCTTCATAGGCCCCTACAACGGTTCATTTCCATTGATGGAACTGCCTCGTTGGAAGACACCCGTTTGAAGACCCTGAGACATGCCACAACATTGTTTTCGGGACTCCAACGCCACGGATCAACCTGATTGCTGCGTCTTGACGATCTTGAATCGTGCCAGAACGCCATTCCTAGAATTTCAACACAGAGAATCTACGTAACTGTTGCACCCGCATAATCCTGAATCCTTCCAACGTACGGGAATCCGTGAAACTCTTCCAAAGTGTTAAAACGAATGTGCGCCGCGCTCAGGCGAGAGCCACATTTTGAAAACCACCCGCCCTCAATCCGTGCAACTCTTGCAATTTGTCAAAACGAATGTGCGCCGCGCTCAAGCGAGAACCACATTTTGAAAACCACCATGCTTCAATCCGTGAAACTCTTGCAACTTGCAAAAAAACGAATGTGCGCCGCGCTAAAGCGAGAGTCACATTTTGAAAACCACCCGCCCTCAATCCGTGAAGCTATTGTATTTTTGTTGAAACGAGCGTGCGCCGCGCTAAGGCGAGAGCCACATGTTGAAAACGGCGCGCCCTCCATCTGTGAAACTGTTGCCAGCTTTAAAGCGTCAGAGTCCCACATGTTGAGGAAGTCTCAGGCGAAACGCCAGGCCCGCCCTAAAAACTGACCTCGGGGTGCGACAGGGAGAAGATATGTACAAGGAAAGAGACTGGAGGAGGAGGAGGAGGAGGAGGAGGAGGAGGAGGAGGAGGAGGAAGAGGAGGAGGAGGGGAGGAGGAGGAGGAGGAGGAGGAGGAGGAGGAGGAGGAGGAGGAGGAGGAGGAGGAGGGGAGGAGGAGGAGGAGGAGGAGAAGGAGGAGGAGGAGGAGGAGGAGGAGGAGGTGCAGGTCGAGTGATTGTTCCCCCTCGGAGGAGCAGCAGCAGCGGCTGAGGCGCCACCTGGCCCCCGCGGCCCGCGCGGAGTCCGCCAGGCGGGGCCGCCGCCCGCTGGAGCGGCGGAGGAAGTCGCTCCCCTGTGGGAGGGCCAGTCGAGGCCACGGCGGCCTTCCCACGGCGTTCGTGGTCCCTCGCAGACCCTCCTCCTCCTCCTCCTCCTCCTCCTCCTCCTCCTCCTCCTCCTCCTCTCCTCCTCCTCATCGCCCTCCTCCAACTCCTCCTCCTCCTCCCTCCTCCTTTCTTCTTTCTTCTCTTCTTCTTATTATTATTATTCTTCTTATTATGCTTCTCCTTATTATTATTATTATTATTATTTATTCTTCCTCCTCATCTCCCTCCTCCTCCCTCCTCCTCCTCCTCCTCCTCCTCCTCCCCTCCTCCCCCCTCCTCCTCCTCCTCCTTTCCTCCTCCTCCTCCTCCTCCTCCTTTTCCTCCTCCTTCACTCGACCTGCACCTCCCGCACCTTCCGCCCGGCGGGTGCCGCTGCGGCGTGGCGTGGCCGCGGCGGCGGGCGCCAGCCGCGCGGCACCGGCCGAGCGGTTGGTTCGGGAGGTGCCGGTTGAGGGACAGGGGCGGGGGGGGGGTACTGACCCACCAGGGATACGTCGCCGATAGATCCCCAGACACGATCGCGTCGTGACAAAATCAGGACGGGAGGTTTTGGGCTATTTTCGGCCCCGGGGGGTCCTCGCCGGACCTCGGGAACTTCAGGAAACGACGCAGGACGAAAAACCGGCCCCGGGGAAAGGGTCGGGACTTGCGGGGACGCCGTCCTGAAAAAAACAAGACGTCGCATGTCTGGGCCAGGCCCTCGGACACCACGCGAATGATCATCGTTTATCCGATCCCCATCCCCAGCGGCGTGGCCTGAAAAAATCAGGACGTCGCATGTCTGGGTACGTCGCCGATAAATCGGCGATGGGCCACCGAGAGCGAGACCGCACGTCTCTGGGCAGGGCGGGCTGGCGGGCCCCCGTCGGCGATCCGTGGGCCATCGCTCGGCGGCCATGGCGTCCCCGCCCGGGCCTGCCCCAAGCCCCGGGCCTCTTCGGGGGCCTCTGGCGGCCGTTCGGGAACGACGCGGGCACCCCTGGAACGCTCTCGGCGGGGCGCAGCTGCCAGAACGCATCCCGAGGCTGGAAAAAACCCACGGAGAAGCGACGACGACCGCCAGGAAGAGCCCCCAGCCTGGCGCTGCCGTGGACCCCTGGAGACCCAGGAAGGCCGAAGACGAAAAGCGCCGGGGAGCCCAGACCCCCGGCGTCGTGCTTTTTGCCACAACGTCGACCCCCTCAGAGGTCTGGACTGATGAGCGTGTTTTCCACCACCACCACCATAAGTTGGAGGGGGGGGGTCCTCCTCCTCCTCCTCCTCCTCCTCCTCCTCCTCCTCCTCCTCCTCCCCCTTCGCCCCATCCAACTTATGGTGGTGGTGGTGGAAAACGCGCTCATCATGGACCCCTTCCCCGGGACCGGCTTCTCATCCCGAGTCGTTTCGTTGACGGTCCCGAGGCCCCGCGAGGGCGCCCGGAGGCCGACACCTATGTAGCGTCGGCCTCCGGGCGCCCTCACCATGAACCATGTTGTCCCCTGGAAGACGTGTCCGAAACACAGTTGTCTCCGGTTGCAGTCGGAGACTACATATCAGGAGGGAAAAAAACACACAGACACAATTAATCGTCGATCCCCAAGAAAATATGGGAAAATATGGGAAGTGGGGGGGAAGACAAAAACCCAGAAAATATGGGAAAATATTGGGCATATTTTTATTTGTGTGTATTTATTTGTGTGTCCTGGGGCCCCTTGAACATAGTGTCGGCCGCCGGGCGCCTTCGGAACACAAAGTAGCAAAAACAGCGCAAATTTGCCTCCCGCCGCGAGCTCTCCGCAGCGCGAGGGGGGTCTGGGAGGGCCGCCGCGGTGCGAGGAGGCCGCCCGAGAACCCCCCCGCCTCAAACGCTGCCCCTGCGCCTCCTCGTCGCCGCAGCGCCCGCCGGGCGGCCGGCGGTGGCCCGGCGGGGCGGGCTCAGGCCCACCTCGGGGAGCAGCGACGGCACGCCGCCGCGGGGGAGCCACGACGGGAGGCGACTGCTGCAGAAGCGCCCCCAGACATGATCGCGCCGTAAAAAAAAGCAGGACGGGAGGTTTTGGGCCATGTTCGGCCCTGGGGGAACTTGCGGGGACGCCGTCCTGAAAAAAACAAGACGTCGCATGTCTGGGCCAGGCCCTCGGACACCACGCGAATGATCATCGTTTATCCGATCCCCATCCCCAGCGGCGTGGCCTGGGCCCCACTGGTCGATTTACCCCCCATTGATGGGCATATAGGCCGTTCCCTTCGAGCTTCGAGGGGTGTATCCCCAGCTGGGGGGTAATTTGGTGGGAGTCTCGAAGGGTATGGGATGGGGGTCGGCTAAACGATACTGAGCGAACGAGCAACACGCTGACGGGCTAACCATGGCAGCGAGCTCACGATCCGCGATGCTGCAGCCTGCTGAACATAATATTACCGTGCGCGCGCAACAGCCCGCCAAGCCCCGGGACTGGCGCGCCTTCGATTCAGCAGAGTGCTGCGCCTCTGCTTCGAGACTGCGGCTACGATCCCAGACCCCCGACGTAATGATTTTTTCATTACGTCGACCCCCAGAGGTCCCGACCCTTTCCCCATGACCGGCTTTGCATCCTGAGTCGTTTTTTGACGCTCCCGAGGCCCGGTGAGGGCCCCCGGAGGCCGAAAATTAGGAAAAACATCCCGTCATGATTTTTTCATTACTCGAGGGGGTCTGGGATCTCCGCTGTCCCCTCGACCTGCACCAGTCGCACCTGCCGCTCGACAGGTGCCGCGCCGCCGCGGCCGCGCCGCCGCGGCCGCTGCCGAGGCCGCAGCGGCGGCCACGCCGCGGCGGCACCTGCCGAGCGGCAGGTGCCACCGGTGCAGCTCGAGGCTCGCCGCCTCCCCCCCGACCCAGACCCCCTCGAGTAATGAAAAAATCATGACGGGATGTTTTTCCTAATTTTCGGCCTCCGGGGACCCTCCCCGGGCCTCGGGAGCGTCAAAAAACGATTCAGGATGCAAAGCCGGTCATGGGGAAAGGGTCCAGACCTGTGGGGGTCGACATAATGAAAAAATCATTACGTCGGGGGTCTGGGACCACACCGCGCACCGGCGGCCCACGGCGCTCAGGCTCGTGGCCGACGTGCTCCGCGCGCTCACCCGCGCCCCGCGCCGGCGCGGGCCGCAGCTGGCAGCCGGCGCGCGGGAGCAGCCCGCGAAGCCCGCGCGGGCCTCCGACGGCTCACGCCGGTGCCGCGCGTGCGGCTCCTCCCCAGACCCCCTCGCGTTGTGAAAAAATCACGACGGGAGGTTTTCCCCTATTTTCGGCCTCCGGGGGCCCTTACCGGGCCTCGGGACCGTCAAAAAACGACCCAGGATGCAAAACCGGTCCCGGGGATGGAGTCCAGACCTCTGGGGGTCGACGTCGTGAAAAAATCACGACGTCGGGGGTCTGGGTCGGCGGCTGGCGGCGGCTCCGCAAGAAGGCGCTGCGCGCCGGCCGCCGGCTTGCCAGCCGCCCCGGCGTCGTCCTGTCCAGATCGTCCGCGACGGGGAGTTGTCGGTAAGAGATATCCGGCGCACCAAATTTCGGTCGCGATCGGAGGGGGTCGAAACGAAGAGACGGCGCGTAGGGGTCCAAGCAAGGGTCCGACGACGTCGACGGCTCGGAATCGATACCAAAATTCGCGACTGGAGGCCGAATTTTGGTCGCGGCTGTGTCGTTACCAAGAACTGCCGGTAACGGATGATCTGGGTTGGGAGAAACCGAAAGATACCGATACCGCTACCACGGACCTCTCCCGGGGCGCGCTCTTACCAGAACATCGAAGCGAATCCAGCCCTGGCGACGGCAGCCTCCCAGGAGGCCCGAACCAAGAACGGAACGAGTGGAAAGGATTACAGGAGGCATCGGCCGTTTCCTCTCCTGGGTCCTTGAGGAAGAGCGGGTGCAGTGCTGGCGACTGCGCCCGAGACGACGCTGCGCGGGCGCTGTCTGGCGGCGTCCACACGGGCTTCTGCCGCGCGAGCTCCGGGCTCGCACGCGGCACCCACGGCCTCTTGGCCTCGGGCCTGCTGACGTACGAGGTGTCCTCGGGCGTCGCGCAATGGGGGGCGATGCGTGGGGGGCCAGCAAGGCGGGCAGAGAAGGGGTACGTATAGGGTCCCTAAAAGAGCCCTTGAGGGCACAGGAGGAGGCCTTCAGGGCCCAGAGAGAGAGAGAGAGCACCTTTCTTCCCCCTTTCTATCGCCCCCCATTGAGCCCAGTGTCCATGAAGACGGCGGTTCCTGGGATCAGCTTGAGCAGCGCCCCGCGCTGCATCCTCACATCCTTGGAAGAACAGGGAACAGCATGAACAAAAATGTTCGGCGGTCCGCGCGGAATTGTTGGAACGTCGCTGGACCCCCCGGCAGACCCAAGAAATCCGCGCGCAACGCCGACAATTCATGCGTATTCAATATAATCTTCATTTTTGCATTCTCGGTACCACTCGTATTACAAATGCTGTTGTTGATCGGATTTCACATACTAGTGCGATCATAAGTTGCACGATTTTCCCATTCGTATGATTAATGTGAGTAGTAGTAGTAGTAGTAGTAGTAGTAGTAGTAGCAGCAGCAGCAGCAGCAGCAGTAGTAGTAGTAGTAGTAGTAGTAGTAGTCGTAGTACTAGTAATAGTACTAGTAGTAGTAGTAGTAGTAGTAGTAGTAGTAGTAGTAGTAGTAGTAGTAGTCGTAGTCGTAGTAGTAGTAGTAGTAGTAGTCGTCGAAGTATTAGTAATAGTAACAGGGCTCAACCTGAACAGTGCTGTCTGTTCACTTGTCGGTTTCGTTTGAAAACGAAGCTCGAGCGAAAACGCCGGCCGGCGTCGCGCGGGCCGTTCTGGAACAAAACAGCGGGTGAACAAACGGACGCCCCCGAGCAGCCGAAACGAAACGCATAACAGAACGGTAGCACGGCCGCGGGCCACAAACAAAACGGAAAAAACTAAACGAGCGAGCGCCAAGGAACAACGACGACGACGACAAGTCAAGTGAAGGTTTCAGCAGCGAGAGCGCGAGTAACAATTTAGGCGGAGATCTACATGAAAATTACATCCGCGAGGGAGCGAATGACGATTTAGGTGGAGATCCCAGCACAACACCCCAGCACACGCTCGCACAACACGACCCCCAGCACAACCCCCCTCCGCACGACCCACCTCCGCAAAATCCACCAGCACACACACACCCAGCGCTACCCCCAACGCAAACCTCCAGCGCAATCACCCAGCACAAACCCCAAGCACAACCCCCCCCCCCCAGCACAACTCCTCAGCACAACCCCCCCAGCACGACCCCCCAGCAAAACCCCCTAGCACAACCCCCTGGCACACCCCCCTGGCACAACCCCGCCCCCAGCACAACCCCCTAGCACAACCCCCTGGCACAACCCCCTGGCACAACCCCCCCCAGCACAACCCCCCGGCACAACCTCCCAGCACAACCCCCCAGCACAATCCTCCAGCACAACCCCCCAACAAACCCCTCCAGCACAACTCCCAGCACAACCCGCTGGTACAACCCCCCAGCACAACCCCCCGCACAACCCCCCAGCACAACCCCCCCAGCACAACCCCCGGCACACACACCCAGCACATCCCCCCAGCTCACCCCCCGGCACAACCTGCCAGCACAACCCCTAGAGAGGGCAATTTAGAGTCTGGAGGTTGTGCTGGAGGTTGTGCTGGAGGTTGTGCTGGAGGTTGTGAAGGAGGTGTGCTGGAGGTTGTGCGGGAGGTTGTGCTGGAGGTTGTGCTGGAGGTCGTGCTGGAGGTTGTGCTGGAGGTTGTGATGTGAGATTGTGCTGGAGGTTGTGATGGAGGTTGTGCTGGCGGTTGTGCTGGAGTTGTGCGGGAGGTTGTGCTGGAGGTTGTGCTGGAGGTTGTGCTGGAGGTTGTGCTGGAGGTTGTGCGGGAGGTTGTGTGCTGGAGGTTGTGCTGGAGTTTGTGCTGGAGGTTGTGCTGGAGGTTGGAGGTTGTGCTGGAGGTTGTGATTGTGCTGGAGGTTTGCTGAGGTTGTGCTGGCAGGTTGCGCTGGAGGTTGTGCTGGAGGTTGTGCTGGAGTTGTGCGGGAGGTTGTGCTGGAGATTGTGCTGGAGGTTGTGCTGGAGGTTGTGCTGGAGGTTGTCTGGCGTTGCGTGGGGTTGTGCGGGAGGTTGTGCTGGAGGTTTAGCTGGAGGTTGCGCTGGAGGTTGTGCCGGAGGTTGTGCTGGAGGTTGTGCTGGAGGTTGTGCTGGAGGTTGTGCTGGAGGGTGTGCTGGAGGTTGTGCTGGAAGTTGTGCTGGAGGTTGTGCAGGAGATTGTGCTGGAGGTTGTGCGGGAAGTTGCGCTGGAGGTTGCGCTGGAGGTTGCGCTGGAGGTTGTGCTGATGGTTGCGCGGGAGGTTGTTCTGGAGTCTGTGCTGGGCGTTGTGCTGGGGTCCGGGAGGTTGTGCTGGGGGTTGTGCTGGAGGTTGTGCTGGAGGTCGCGCTGGAGGTTTTGCTGGAGGTTGTGCTGGAGGTTGTGCTGGGGGTTGTGCTGGAAGTTGTGCTGGAGGGTGTACTGGGGGTCTTGCTGGCGGTTGTGCTGGAGGTTGTGATGGAGGTTGTGCTGGAGGTCGCGCTGGAAGGCGCGCTGGAGGTCGTGCCGGAGGTTGCGCTGGAGGTTGTGCTGGAGGTTGTGCGGGAGGTGGTGCTGGAGGTTGTGCTGGAGGTTGTGCTGGAGGTTGTGCTGGAGGTTGTGCTGGAGGTTGTGCTGGTGCTGGAGGTTGTGCGGAAGGTTGTGCTGGAGGTTGTGCTGGCGGTTGTGCTGGAGGTTGTGCTGGAGATTGTGCTGGAGGTTGTGCTGGGGGTTGTGCTGGAGGTTGTGCCGGAGGTTGCGCTGGGGGTCGCGCTGGAGGTTGTGCTGGAAGTTGTGCTGGAGGTTGTGCTGGAGGTTGTGCCGGGGGTTGCGCTGGAGATTGTGCTGGAAGTTGCGCGGGAGGTTGTTCTGGAAGTTGTGCTGGAGGTTGCACTGGAGGTCGCGCATGAGGTTGTGCTGGAAGTTGTGCGGGAGGTTGCGCTGGAGGTTCTGCTGGAGGTGGTGCTGGAGGTTGTGCTGGAGGTTGTGCTGGAGGTCGTACTGGAGGTCGTGCCGGAGGTTGTGCTGGAGGTTGCGCTGGAGGTTGCGCCAGAGGTTGCGCTGGAGGTTGTGCTGGAGGTTGTGCTGGAGGTTGCGCGGGAGGTTGTGATGGAGGCTGTGCTGGAGGTCGTGCTGGAGGTCGTGCCAGAGGTCGCGCTGGAGGTCGTGCTGGATGCGTTGTGCTGGAGGTTGGGCCGGAATGCGCGCTGGAGGTCAGGCCGGAGGTTGCGCCGTAGAAAGTTCGGCCTCCAGCGCAAAGGCGGCCTCCAAGACGGCCCCCAAGACAGCCAAGGCGACGCCAAGATGGCCCACGACGGCTCAAGAGGCCCCCAAGACGGCCTCAGGACGGCCCAGGAAGCCCCCAAGACAGCCCAATACGGCCGAAGAGAGCTCCGAGAGGCCCTCGATGAGTGCCAGGGGAGGCAGCAAACAGCGCTTGTCCTGAAAATCCGGAAAGATTGTGAAGTTTCCGCCTGTTCGGGTTTCGGGCCGATCAAGACGGCCCAAGAGGCCTCCAAGACAGTTCCACGATATACCACATGTGTATGTACAACTATGCAAACAAGCTGTTTACGACCAGTGCGCCCTCGATGCATGCGACTTCCGGCACGACCCCTCAGCGCAACCTCCCAACGAAACCACTCAGCGCAACCCGTCAGCACAACCCCCAACACAACCGCCCAACTGGCGATCTAAACAGCGACAGCGCGAGTGCAGATTTTGGTGAAGATGTTGGCGAATGTTTATGCGGCGAGTGGCGCGCTTAATCAGCACAACCACTGGCGCAACTATCAGCACCACTACAACCATCAGCGCCAGCACAACCACCGGCACATCAGCCCGACCACGGTTGCAACGGAATCGCAGAGCGACGGGTCGTAATATGTCGTAATAGCAGCGATTTTGCTTGAGCGAAATCGGTTTGAACCAAAATGTCAACGGACCTCCCCCCCCCCTTCCCCCCCGGACGCGCGCCGGGTTGCGCGGGGCGGCGCGGTGGCGCGACGGGGTCGTCGACGCCCTCGACGTCTTCGCCGCCCTCGTCGCGCTCCGCCTGCGAATGGCGGGCCGCGTCGGCGCAGGCGCTTGCTCCTCCTCCTCCCGGCCATCCTCCTCGACCCCGCCCTCGTCTTCGTCCTCGTCGACGTCCTCCTTCGCTTCCTCCGACCCCCCCCCTTCCGCCCCCTCCTGGGGCGCGACGGTTTCCCCGGCCCTTCTTTCCTCCGCGTGCCCCCCCCCACTTTCCTGAACAAGGCAACTCGTCTGGGCATCGTTGCTGACTGGCCAAATGAGGCCACGTTTTTGGTCGCGGCCGCAGGCGAGAGCGCACGCGGCGAGGCGCGAGTCCGGGGCGCGGGCCTACTAAGCCAAAGCTCGCGCCGAAGGAGGAGAAAAGGAAAGGAAAGGAAAAATAGGAGGGGAGGTAGGCGTCAACAACGGCAACGGCAGGCGTCAACAACGGCAACGGCAGCGGCTGCAGAAACCTCGCGGGAAACCTCGAACACGTAGGAAACAAAATCAGCAACGCCACCCAGGCAGGGGGCAGGGGGGGCAGGGGGGATGAGGAGGGCGAAAGGCCACGCAGGGAGGGGGATCAGGAGGAAGAGGAGGAGGAATGACGTAGTACAAAATAGCTGGCGAACGACTGATCCTTTCTCCGCGCCTCGGGAAAACGACTCAATCTCGCGGCCCGCCCGACGGCTCGTCGCTCCGGAGAGGCGGGCCGATGGCGCTGGCGCTCAGCACAGAACGCAATGCAAGCGCGGGGGCGCCACTGAACGTTTCGGTCCTAGCGTGCTGAGCACAGCTGAGGGGGTTGACCCTACAGGGAGTTCGAAAAAACAACGACAACTCAAATTCAACAAATGTTGCAGTCTAAGTTATCGCGCGAAGATCGCAGCCCCGGAGCGGGGCAGAAAACGAAACGAAGAATTTCGAAAACGAGAACCAGACCCGCGACGCGGCACGAAACAAAACTCAGTTTCGCATGGAAGTTGCGGTGGGGGGGGGTTCGGTGGGGGGTTTTGCTGGCCGGAGGTGGTTGCTGGGGGGTGTGCTGGGGGCGGGTGTTGGCGGGGGGGGTTGTGCTGGGGGTTGGTGAAGGGTTGCTCGCTGCTGGGGGGTTGTGCTGGGGGATTGCGGTGGGGTTAGTGCTGGGGTTCGTGCTGGAGGGTTGTGGTGAGGGTTGTGC